GCGTTTGGTCTACGCGTTGGTCATCGTGGTTGGTCTACGTTTTGGTCATCGCGGTTGGTCTACGCGTTGGCCATCGTGGTTGGTTCTGTCTTCATTGTTCCGTCTTTTTCTTTGATATTTGTGAACGCTGTGGTGGCTACTGGGGGAAGTTGGTGGGAGTGGGTGTGGGGTCATGGAGAGGAGTGAAACCGGGAGTGTCGGCTACTGGAGCGTGGTGGGATCCCAGTGGAGATGGTGGAGGTCTTGGTGGAAGGGCTCCAGGAGGTGGGCAGCGCTGTGCTGGGTGGTACTGGAGCTGCTGGAGGAGGTGGCCGCTCTGAAGATCCCTGAACGTCCCTCAAGTGACCCCCTTTGGTCTCCCAACAGGTGACGGGACAGCCGGGGAGAAGGAGGAGGAGTCCCAGCCCATGGAAGAGGACAGGGTGATGGTAGAAGGACCCGAAGAGGAACCCCAGAGCCCCGAGGTGGACATGGACCATGAGGTTGACCATCGGGCAGATGACACACAGGGCAGCCAAGTACCCAGAACACCCCGCAAACATTCTTTCCAAGGGACCTACGCCGAAGACCTCCAAGAAGACATGACCCAACCGCCGAGTAGCTCCAGCCAGAAGGTCTACGAGTGCGAGGTCTGCCAGAAGACCTTGGTCTCCAAAGGCGGCTTGAACCAACACCGCCGCATCCACACGGGAGAGAAGCCCTTCAAGTGCCTGGAGTGCGGGAAGAGCTTCATGTTGAGCGCGACGCTCCTGTGTCACTGGAGGACACACACCAACGAGAGGCCCTTTCTCTGCAACACCTGTGGGAAGGGCTTCTGCAGGCGCCCGGACCTCGTGTCCCACCAACGCACCCACACGGGAGAGCGGCCCTACCCCTGCCCGCGGTGCGAGAAGGCCTTCCGGAAGAGGGCTCACCTCAAGAAGCATCTGAGAACCATCCACAATGGTGGGTCCTTGAAGGGAGGTTGGCGGGAGGTGTTCCACACCTTGGGAGATGTTCCACACCTTGGTGGAGCTGTGAGTGGGGATGGGCTGGAGAAGCACGTGGTGGGATTCCTGCTCCCGGCGTGGCAGCAGTGGTGGGGTTGGATGGAGATGTTGGTGGGGGTGAGTTTGCTCTGTGGCCGGGTTGGGTTGAACGATGGGTGGGGATTGTCCTGGTGGGAGCAGGAGGTTGGGCTGGAGCCCTCCAACTACTGCAGCTGTGCTGGAAGAAGCTCTTCCATGGTGAGGGGTTCATGAGTCAGTTTTGGTGAGACCAAACGTTCTCCAAGAACGTTTCTCAGGTTCATTTGTGGACATGGAGACCTCTCCACCCATCCTCCACCCTGCAAACCCCTTCCTGGGCCTTCCCAACTTGCGTTAACCCAACAGATACTTGAGCTTCTCCTCCATCCATGGTCATGGAGGTCCTGTTGGCTTTATCCTTCTCGAGCAGGTGCCCAACTGGAGGCAGCACAACCACGCCGGGTGCCGCGGAAGCCACCGAAGAGCCAAGAGGGCGACGGGGGCACCACGAACGGACCGGTGCCCCTCGAGAAGAAGAAGATCCACAAATGCCCGGATTGCGAGAAGACCTTCTGCTGGAGGAACAGCCTGAGTCGCCACCAACGCAATCACACGGGAGAACGACCCTACAAGTGCCCGGATTGCGAGAAGACCTTCAACGACGTCGCCAACTTCACCTGCCACTATAGGATCCATAAGGGAGAGAGACCCTACCAGTGCCCCGAGTGTGGGCAACGCTTCACCCAGAGCTCCACCCTCTCCAAGCACAAGAAGATCCACACTCAAGAAAATCCGTTTTCCTGCTCGGAATGTCGCTCGTCCTTCACACGGAAGGAGAAACTCGTCTTGCACCAACGCATCCACGCCAAACCGGTGGTGGCC